TCGGGCAAGCCGGGCGCGGAGCCCGGCCTGGACCCAGGCGCCTCCCCTGAGGCAGCCGCCGCCGCCCGAACCTGTCTCTCCCCGAAAGTCGCCCCTGCAGGCGTGGGTGCCGGTAACGGGGCGCTCCCCAGGCTGGGGGGTGAGAGTGGGCCCCACCTCTATCTGTGGGTGGGTCAGGGACTGCGGCTCGGGCCCCGCGGGGAACATCGGGCGAGCGCATCCTGGGCGGGCACGCCCCTCTCCTCCGTGGGCGGCGCCTTCCTCGCCCGCGCTCCTTCCGCCCAATCCGTTAAGCGAAGTCGGCCAAAACAAAAACAAACACTTTTGGAACACCTATTAGGAGCTGAATTTTGCCAGCCATTAGGAAATACCAAGTGTGGGACAATTACTGGTCTTTTAGAGCTCTTTTTAGGCAAGGGAGGGTGGGGGTGGGGGAGTTGTGGGCAAAGAACTGGTGATAGGACGCTAAATGTTTTAATAGTGGTGTAGAAACAGGAGGCGCCATCGATGTATTTAAGGGTCATCTTTGGCGGAACAGTGGCAGTTGAGTAGAAGTTTGCCCTACAGACCTAACATTTAAGGAGGGCTTACTAAATACCAGGGATTGTTCTGGCCACTTTACGTAATTATTTTATTTAATCCTCAGAAACAACGGTTTAAAATGAGTCGTAGTCCTGTTCCACCAGGCTCAGAGGAGTTATGCCCAATATTGCAGAGCTGATGGGTGGCAGAAGATCTGAACCCCGATATATTTGACTCTACTTACCCATTACATTGTGTTAAAGAAAATACCAAAAAGAGAGAAGCAGTACGTACAAAGACAGAAGAGTTTGCAGGAACTACCACCATCAAACATTGGCTTAGAAACTGTCTTCTGTCCCTTGGTATTTACTCATAATAATAGATTGTCTAGTTTGAGTACGTGTTTTTCTCTAATTGGCAGATGCTGTGGGTTGCCGGGTCAGAGCTTCCTAACTGAGGTGCTGAATAAAATACAGCTGTGTTCTGATAGGAATCGCCTCATCCTTGGAACAGCTGAGCAGGGCTGAGGTCGCAGGAGCCTTCAGGCAAGTCACAGTTCTTGGGTTTATCCCTGCGTGTCATGTATACTGTGAAAAACGCTTGGCAATCATTGGCTGAGTACTCAACAACCAGTCCTGCCTAAGTTCAAAAACCCTCCCTTGGGGACCAAAATTTTATCAGGAGGTGGGGTCCATGGCCAGCCCCAGCTACAGAGAGCCAATACAATCAAAGTGGTAATCCTACTCATCCTGCCCAGGGTTAGTGTTGAAAGGCACACAGGATGCAGTTTTGGTCTTTGCAAGATCAAAGATACTCTGCTGTGAGTCTACTAAAATGGGATACAAGGATGACACAGTTCTTCTATCCCTTAACTATTTTTGAGGATGTGACACTTGTAATAGCTGCAGCCATTGTGACTTAAGGCAAGCTGATCGGAGGATGAGGCAGAAATGCTAAGGACAGCACAATGGAAAATCCAAGTCCTTGGTGACACAAATGAGCCTCTGATTTGACCAACCCTGGAGCTGACCTCAACAGAGTTGGGGTCTTTAGTTTTTTCCACCAAAAAGCATCATAACTGATAATATATCTCCAATGAGCCCCTTTAGGACAGAGACTGCTCATCCTGATGAGTACCTAATCCTTAGTACATAGCACGGTGTTGGGCACATAGTAAATGCTTGTTTGCTAAAACTGGGACAGGAAGGGAAGCAGAGGAAAGTTCTAGAACCTGAAGTAAACTCTCTTCATATATAGATATGACTTGCTTTATTTTAAACTCAGTTTATCATCTCCTGGATTTACCACAATTACAGTAGATCAAAGAGAATTCTCAGTTTACAAAAGGATGTGTATCTTTACCATGGATTAATTTAACTATATCCCCTACTACATTTAAAGTCCTTATACAAAACTTGGGAGCAATTGAGTCTGTCAAAATCGTTACATGCCCCCCACAGTTTTCTGTTGCACCACCAAAGAAGTGTTAGAAATTCTGCAGATTCTTCAAAGAAATGTCCCCTAATCTTCCTCTACCTCCATAGTCATTTTAAGATTACTGTTAAGACCAAAAACAAACAAACAAAAAACCTTTCTTAGATTTTCTATCTGGAGATAAAACTCTTCTCAGTTTGAGGCCCCTTCAGTGATATCAGAATATTTTTTTGAGTCTCTCCTAGACTAAGAAATCTTCCTTTAACTTTTTGGTAGGCTACCACACTGTTTTCATTTCCTTATTATCTTGAAAGGATCATCCCCATTTGTGCTCCTCCTCTCCCAGCTCTTCAGCCTACTAGTGCTGGCTTCTTCAACTACCACCACCAGCACTCCACTGACAGCACTTTTTCAAAAGTCACCAGTGTCCTAACTGTCAACTCATGACTTCTTTTTGGTCCTGGACCTACTTGACCTTTCTTTCAGTTAACACAGTTAACCACTTCCTCTTTCTCAAAACTTCCCTGATCTTCCACAAATCTCCTTGTTCACCTCCCCTCTTCTGTTACGTCATAAACTCCTCCACTAGTTCTTCTCCCAGGCGCTTCTTCCAGCAGTTCTACTCAAAGTGTGGTCCTTGGACCAGTGCCAGCCTGCATACTGCTTGTGTTTAGTCCACAGGGAGATAAGTACAGAAGTTAAGAGTAAATGCTTAGCAGCATTTATAGCAATCTTAACATTTCAGCAATATCCAAGCACATGATCATTAGATCCTTCTCATTAAACAGCAGATAGAGTGGTTCGGGTGTTCTCCCCCTTGTGTGGTGAGTTGCAGGTCAGTGTCATGGTTGTGTCCGTGTCGTGTACAGTAGGTCACGCTGGTGAAGGAGTAAAATGTTAAGGTTAGTTTATCAACTGTAACCCAAAAGTGGATAAAAATCTGTGAAAATGTAAATATTTATTTACTTTTATAACTTGCTATTTTCACAGTCATTTTAATTTTTAATCAAGCCTGTTTTTTTGAAATTCATAGTAAAATTTGTGTCCTTTGTTTTTAACCTTAAATTATAGATGGTGAAATAAGCTTCACCATCCTATTTTGTCCAGAAAAGACATACTTCAGTAGTGGGTTAGTAATAATAGTAGTAAACCAAATAATAACCAGAGAAGTGATTCCAAAGATCTGAGTTTTGGGATGATTTTACTCAGAAGTATAATCCCCTGTCTTCTGAGCTCATAGCCATAACTCATAATAAAGTAATAAAGCCGTCAAGTGTCCATGGCATTTATGTATAAAATACAGAGAAACTAATTATGAATTTTATAAAACATTTTGAATTTTTATTTTCCATGAAAATCAACATGTATAGGGAATTTATGGATCCAGGATCCATTTCTTTCATTCAAAGATAATTTAAATGTAACTAATTTAATAGGACAAATTTTTGGAACTGGCTGCTGATGAAGAATTGAGGATGAATTTTGAAAATAAAGCATCATTTGTTTCATTTGGGATGAAAATTTAAAATGAATATCCTGAGCTTGCTGAAATTGCTTTAAAATCTCTTCTTCCAATCCCTTTGAGAGTCTGATTTCTCTACTATAAGTCTTACTAAATACAACATAGAACCAGTTTAGATATACATTATCTCCTACTAGTGGCACTGTCACCAATCCAACCTAGATTAGAGAACTTAACAAGCAAGAAGTACAATAATTTGTCATGTTAAAAACTTTAAATATTAAATATTGTTATAGTATTTAACATGGGAAATTGCCACTTCACTACCAACTGTTTGTTTAGTTGTTATGACTGGATTGAGAGAAAAATAGGAAGTATTAGCAATCCTCTATATTAATCACCTATATGTACACTTTCAGTGAACAAAGTGCAGTTTTTATAGTTTTTTCTTTTATCCTATGTTATTTTTGGTCTAATTATGTTTTTTGAAATGTAATTTTATGTCTGTTTAAAATACTTAAAAATATGAGTGTACATTTGGCATGCCTTTTTGTTTTCACTTTATTTTTCTAGTACTTTTAAAAATTTTGTTTTTCAAAAGTATCAATTCATGAAAAATTGGAAATTAAAAGGAAAGAAAAAGTTTGTTGCTTCATAGACAGTGAGATATAGCACTGGCCTGGAAGATCTTCAGCACTCTTCTCTTGCTCTATTTCATTCCCATGATTTAAATCACCTCCCATGTGTGTGTTCTTAGATTCTTTTAGGTTTCAAGCAACAGAGGCCCACTCAGTTTACCTGAGAAATCACCTCCCATGTGTGTGTTCTTAGATTCTTTTAGGTTTCAAGCAACAGAGACCCACTCAGTTTACCTGAGTTATTCAGGGTTAATGATTAGTTTGGGATGGGGAGAATGAAGAAGACAGAAAAAAACAAGAGTCCCTGTGACAACCTTGGTGTATCTTGTCATTCTCCAGCAGCAGGCACTGTGGATGTGGTTGTTCTTCCTCTCTTTAAGCTGTTCTCCCACAGTGACCTCTCCAGCCCACCAATTCACACCCTTCAGGAGAGAAAATATGACTGATTCGCCTACTAAACTGTAGTTTATATTAGCAGGATCAAAGCCCTTTGTTCAAAAGTTACTGAGACTTTCAAGGTGATAACGGCAGAACATTAAACCAACCATGAGGCTCTTCTAACATGAAGTTTAGAACTGCATGGCTCACATGCCCATAAAGCCAGGTCTGCCCATGAGGGTAGATCTGTGTCTGTCCTCCTAACTAGGGTGTCCCCATGCCTAGCATGTGCCCATAATACAGAGCAGTCAGTTGGGCTTGATACCAAGGGGTAGCTAGTTTAGTACTACACTATTATATTAGTTTCCCCTCCTTCCTTGCTTACTCCCCTTTGTCTTCACTCCTTTTCCTCTCAAATTGCTCTCAGGCTGTATTTTGTAGAAAACCCAAGCTAAAAGACCTGGCCCCAGGATAGTCCTGCAGACAATCAGGCTAGGATATTGGAGCTGAGTTACTCACTGATTTTATGGTGATAAAGACCCAGGGCATGGTAACTGAGTAGTAAGTGGGGCCACACTGTGATATCATCATTGCTAAGCTTCCCACCTGTGGCCAGTCGGGATGCAGCACAGATAGAAAATGAGGCATTGGAACTTGTGGTGGCTGTAGTGCTTGAACAGAGTGGGACAATAGGATGGGATGGATTCTGTTGACGGAATTGTATACCTTACAAAAGAAAATGACACCTCAGGGCAGCCAACTGTCACCTTTAGGCACACTGAGAAAGAGCGGGCCTCTATTGGCAACTTTTTAAAAGACTAATTTTCTATAGCCTAAAGAAAACTATACTAAGAATCAGGCCTAGAACCTGATTGTAAGGGCAGCAGAGTCCCTGATAAAGCAACTAAATGCATAGACTTGCAGGGTCTCCTATGTCCACGTCTGGTCCCTGAAAGGGAAAAGAGACCTAAGACTTAGGAATGGGTCACTTGAGTAGACGAGCCTGAGAATATTGAATCCCCCAATTTTCCCCTGTGGAGCACTGGAAAAAATTCAGCAACTAACTCAGGAGAGTGGGATGCAAGGAAAGAACACATTTTTAGCATTTGCTAATTTCTGTTGAATAAACACTCCCAACTTAGTCAATTTCAAGCTACCAACGTAATGTCACTAAACAGAGTTGAGAAGAGATGTACCCAATTGGCTCCTGTGAGCTGATATGAACCAGCTCCAACCCACCAGTGCCCTGAACCCTCTGGCTGGTAGAAACATCACCTCTTCTCTTGCTTGTAAATCATGCGATGACTTCTGAAGCAAGTGGCTCTCCAAAGGGACTTGCAGCCATTTGACAGTGTAACTGTGCACTGGAAAAAGAGAAATGCCCAGAGTCTTCAAGAACTGTTAGATACAGGGTCTAAGCTAACATTGATACCATCATGATTGATCAGTTAGAACAGACCAATGGAATTTTGGCTCAACTCCAACTTACAGCAGGTCCAATAGGTCTTTGAACACATTCTGTGGTCAAGTCATTGAATGTATGATTAGGATAGATAATCTTAACGAGTGGCAAAAGTTTCACATTGGTTCCCTGACCTGTGGATTGCTAGCCATTATGTAGGATGGGCTAAGCAGAGGTTCTGGAAACACAATGAAGTGCATATACATGTAGAAAAAGGTCTCAAAGAATGAACAACAATGTGCAGACAGAGGTGGTTTTTCTTTGTTCCCTTAATTTTATACAGTAAACTTAGATTTGTATAATTCTATGTATGGTGTTTTATAATAAGAAAAAACTGTATAATTTTTAATTATATATATATATATAATTACTGTTTTGAGGTTTTTACATTATATGTAAAGTTGTATAATATTAATTCATCAGAGATGCATATTATAATCACTATAGTAATCAACCTCCCCCCAAAATGAAAAAAATATAACTAAAAAGCAAATAAACTCCAGTTAAAAGGCAGCGATTGTCAGGCTGAATAAAAAAGCAAGACGTAATGATATGCTATTTTCAAGAGGTTTACTTTAGATATGAAGACACAACTAGGTTAAAGTGATAGACATAAATATGCCATGAAAACATTAATCATAAGAAAGTTAGAGTGCCTATTTTAATATAAAAGAAAGTAGGCTTCAGAACAAGGAGTTTTACCAGAGATGAAAGGGTCACTCAAGAAGATACCACAACTTAAATATGCATGCATCAAATATAGTTTCAAATTCAAGATGCCAGAATTGACAGAACTAAAAGGAGAAATAGACAAATACCCAATTATAGTTAGAAATCATAGCACTCCTTTCTCTGGAATTGATAGAACAAGTACACAAAAGTACTTGAGAATTTTCCAGACTTTTTTGTATTGACCTCTAATTTCAATCTGCTAAGCTCAAAAAAACATACTCTGATTTCAATCATTTGAAATGTATTCAGGCTTGTTTTATGGCCCAACTTGTGGTCTATCTTGGTGAATATTCTCTGTGCCTTTGAGAAGATGTAATTTTATGGTTGTTGGGTATGATAGTCTATAAATATCAATTAGGTTAATTTTTGTATCCAGTGTGATGTAGGAGTTACGGCTTATTTTTTCCTTAAAAAAACTCAGTCATTTCAGTACTATTTGTGAAAATCTTGATGAACAGAATATATAAAGAACTACTCCAACTCAATAATACAAAGACACCAACCTGATTTTTAAATGGGCAAAATACATGAAAAGACATTTCCTAAAGGAAGATATATGAATGGCCAATAAGCACATGGAGAGATGTTCAATATCATTAGACATTAGAGAAATGCAAACTAAAACCACAGTGACATACTCTACAATGACTAGAATGTCTAAAATGAAAATGATGGCAACACCAAATGTTGGCAAGGGTCTGAAGCAACCAAAACTGTCTTTTAATTAGGTGGGAGAACATAGTACACACACTCTTAAGGTGGCCCTGTTTGATCCCCACCCACTAGATTTCAAGCTCTATGTGCTCCCCTCCCCTTGAGTGTGAGTGGAACTTGGAATAGAAGGTGGCAAAGGAGATGGATTGTACATATTTAAATGTATTTGATTAGATGATTACATTTTATGAGATTAAATGTAATCTTGTTGGGGTCTCTTGCTCCTTTGCTGGCTTTGAGGAAGCAACTGGCCATGTTAAGGAACCCCACATGGTAATGAAATGCAGGTAGCCTCTAGAAGCTGAGGGCAACCTCCAGCTGACAGCCAGCAAGAAATTGAAGCCCTTGGTCATACAGCTGAAAGGAATTCTGCCAACAACCACATGAGTCCAGAAGCAAATCCTTCCTCAGTGGAGCCTCCATATGAGAACCTAGTCTTGTTCAACACCTTGGTTGCAGCCTTGCAAAGGATTAACTAAGCTGTGCCCAGACTCCTGACTCATGGAAACTGGAAGATAATAAATGTGTGTTGTTTGAAACTGTTAAACTTGTGGTAATAGTATTAAGCAATAAAAGATAACTAATACAGACTATAAAATGGTACAGCCACTTTGGGTGATGGTTTGACATTTTCCCATAACATAAATAAACACCAACCATACGACCCAGATAGTCCATACTCAAGAGTAACGTAAGTCTACCAAAAAGGTCATACACACAAATATTCATAACAACTTCATTCATAATAGCCAGATCAGGAAAAATAAATTTCCATCCATACAAGAATAGATAAAGAAATTATAGTATATTGATGCAGTACAATGAATACTACTCAACAATGAAATGTAATAAGCTTTTGATAGACACAAAACATGAATGAGTCTCAAAAACATTGTGCCAAGCTACGGAAACTAGACACAATAGAGTACAAACTGTGAGTCCATTTATATGAAGTCTTAGCACAGGCCAACCTAATCTATGGTGAAAGGAATTGAACCAGTGTTTGGCTCTGGGGATTGAGGGCAGGCATTGACTTGAAAAGGGCATGAGATAACTTTCTGCAGTGATTGACAGCTCCCTATCTTGATGGATTATACAGGTGTGTGCATCTGTCCAAAGACTTTGTCCTGTACACATAAGATCTGTGCTTACCACTATATGTAAATTATATTTTAATTTTAAAAAATGAAAAAGGACAATGGATACTGTTTGGTAAAGAACAGTACATATGTCTCAACCCAAATTACCCCAAGATGCTTACAAAGATAAAGAAAAAAGCGTCTGCTGTGTGGAGTGTGTAAGAACTTTTCCAGAGGGAAAGGGACCTTCTGCTTGATTCTGCTCTCTCAGTTGATCTTTGTGCCTGGAGCTTCATTGACTCTATCCACCCAAAGAATATCATCCAACGCAATGAATTCTGTGAACTCTATAGCCCATATTTAATCAATATATAGTCATAATATGACCTATACACAAACATGGCTGCTGAGATAACTTTATCATCCTTATTGTGTAGTTACTTCAAACAGGATTTGGTTTTCATGCATTATCAAAGATAATACTTAATTCAAAATATTATTTGTTGTGGTGCTCTGCCAAGCAATGTATGGAGATTGAATTATCAAAAGACCTATGAGCGAGAAACTGTCAAGGATATCGAAAACAAGAAAAGTCTGAGAAACCGTCAGAGTCTAAAGAACCTAAGGAGAAATAACAACTAAATGTAATTTCATATCCTGGATGGGATCTTGGAGCACAAAAAGGACATTGGGTTAAAAATTAAGAAAATCTGAATAAAGTATGGATTTTATTAATAATAATTTGTCAATATTGGTTCATTAATTGTAGGCAATGTACTATACTAACATAAGATGTGAATAATAAGAGAAATTATGTGTAGGGGTGAGGGAATATTTGGGATCTCTCTGTACCATTTTCTCAATTTTTCTGTAAATATAAAACTGCACTAAAAATAAAATCCATTTTTTTAAAAAGACCATGAGAACAAGCTTTGTATTGCGGTAGGATGTGGGAAACAGTCACTGTAAGACACTTATCACATACAATAGACTAGAGGACAGGTTTAAATCGTGGGGTCAGAAAGAAAGGGGCAACCCCAGGAACAGGACAGTGGTTTCAAATCTGTCTCTTTTACTGTCTCTGCAAAGCTCCTTTCCTCCAAATAGTTGCTTTCCTCCAAATAGTTGCAGTCAGTGTCAACCACCCTCTCCTCTGGCAGCTGCTATTGTTTCTCTTTTTGCCCTCTGCCAATCTGGACATGGGACATCTACAAGTCCCCCCAAAGAAATTACTGGCATAAAAACATTAATGAGAAATGTAGTTGTTTTTGATGATTTCTTAGAGAAAAATGGAGGAGGCATTTGTGTTAAATCTGACAAACAATTTTTAAATCTCCTTTAAATTGGAGATTTATAAGGATATAATTGGGACAATGGTGGAAATTGGAATATGGACCGAACATTAGATATTGTGTTGTATTAAGTTTACATTCCCGAGTGAGATATTTATATTGTGATCATATGGGAGAATGGCTTTGTTCTTAGAAGACACATGCCGAAGTATTCAGTGATGAAGTTTCATGATATCTACAGACAACTTTCAAATGGTTCAGAAAAAACATTTCTTTCTGTGTCTACTTTTTATCTGCCTATCTATATACAAAATGTGAATATACATATATGTATAAAAATGTACTTTCTCTGTCTCTCCCTGTACATGTAGATGCAATGGGTATACCAGTGTTCACTGTACTATTCTTTCATCTGTTCTAAAGTTTTGGTATTTTTCAAAAAAAAAACACTTGTGGGAATCTCCTTTAAGATATCTATTCTTCAAAAGCCATACTTGGCTCCTCCCCACCAGGGATCTCTTGGTAGTCCTTCCCCAATCCTGCCGTACCTTTGATGACTCTGGAGTTTTACACAAGATGTCTTTCTCCCACTTCAAATACATCGCCTGTCTATATGTACAAAGCATTTACCTCTGCTTGGCTTCTACCCTCAAAATCACAATCCTAAACTCATCAAAACCTTCGATGAAACCTAGGGGGCTCTCACTGATAGGGCCTACCCTCCTCAGAAGATAGTCTAGCAACCATCCTGTACAACCACACATGTGTTTTTGAGATATTTTCCCTACCCACGTAGCATAATGAAACGTTCCCACCAAATACTACTTCAAAAGAATTCTGGGGAATGGAATTTTCATCTCAGTTTACAACTAGAGGACTCCAACACTGTATCAAATTAGAAAGACTGCTTCTATTTCTAAACTGACTCATGTCATCTGACCTCACTCTCAGCTTTAGAAGAGTACTGACGAAGATATTCACACAGAAGTGCTACACTTCCAGAGATGTCACAAAGGAAGAACAACCAGTTGAACTAATAACAGCCAGGCGCTTTCATGGTAAGGACTGTAACTAAGAAGGATTTCTAGTAGTTGAAAGATTAACTGCTGGTTTCTACAGCCCCAACTACTGTTAATTCCTTATATTGAAGGTGTGAGAAGTAATTGTCCTATTCTAAATCTATAAGCATAAGGCAATGGACCATATACTAATTTTAAGTAGATCTCTAAGGTAAATAAATGAGCAAGAAACTTTGACAGGTAAGCGTAAGTAAAGAGAGTTTGATATAATTATGAAACTTCAAGTCGGAATACCTGGGTTTGCCTATGATGCCCATATAATTCTTTCTCTCCCTTTTCTCCTCTTCTGGACTACTTTTTTCTAGTAAGCTTGATTTCTTAGTGTTAACTGTCTGTTCAAAGACCCAGAAGAGTACCCTTCACCTCCATGTGCTTTCTGTACCTGTACACTTCCTTTCTTATTGTCTTCTCCACCACAAAATGATCACCCACATGGTACAGTTTTTTACCATTTACAAAGCTCTTTCATGTATATTGACTCAGTTCTCTCAGTAATTCAATGGTACGTATTTTGTTAAACCCTTTTTACAGTTGATTTGAAACTGAAATTTGAAGAGGTTGAAATATTGTGCAAGGTCACACATTTTTTTAAACGGCAAAGCCAGAAATTCATCCTGGATTGTGATTTCAAGCCTAGCATTCTTTTTTTCACACCAGAGATAAAATTCCAATTTCAGTGGTGTAGGTCAAAGAATCCTTCGTGAATATGCTAGAAAAACAGGAAATCCCGTGAATTCAGTATGAATATTATAATGAAAACAAGAGAGCTGTTGGATATTCATCTATTTCCTCTTCTTTCTTTTTTCTCTTAATTTTATCTTCCTTCCCTTCTGGTTAAATAGAGGATCCTTTCACAACCCCTGTTCTGTCTCCTTTTTTCTTTCGCCTAAACCCCATTTATTCTCTGCTAATTCAATAGGGACCCACATCCCAGGCAGATCTGCTACTCAACAGCAAAACGAGGTTAGAGGATGCTAGAAGTAATGGTTTCACTTTTAGCTCAGAAAGCCAGCTGTGTTAGAAATAGTAGCTGTATTTTCCTCTTATTTTCTGCTTGGAGCCCCCACCCTCTAACTAGGAAAAATTTGCATTTATTCAATATTTACGCAAGAGATAAACCTATATTTCTGGGGTGCATATGGAGTTGTGGCTTCCAGTCCTTGACTGTCTCTTATGACCTTGGCTTCTGTTTAGCCATCCACCATCTCGTTTCATATTGTTTACTGGACATACAGGCAACTGCTGCATCATCCTCATGGTCCCATTAAAAAGGCCCCTGCAGGTTTGGCAATTATCCTTTTAACTTGTATACAGACTCTGGGGTGCAAAAAATTCCTTCCACTGCCAGGCTGAGTCACAGAAACTGTGAGGTGCTTCCTAAAACCGCATTGACTCCTGCAGCACTCTCAGACCACAGAACCATCCATCTGCTTCCAGGCCACACTGTGACACACGGGACTCTGTAAGCTGTCCCAGACTCCCACCTGCCACACAGCCCTTCAGTCTCAGAGATCTTGGGTCTCCTCGGGCCTCGATCTAAGAACGCATCTATATTGTCTCTCCTCTTGGGTCCCACAAACTTGCCTGGTGTTTCTGTCATTTCATTCCTTCTACTGGGGCAAGATCAGTCCCCTCTTCAGTTTCTCACCAGGGCAAGTTCTCTTGTTCCATTTGCTGGAAAATCTTTAGTCTGAAGCCAGGAAGCTTTTCTCTGATTCCTTATATTCTTCTACATGACTGCTTATGCTCTGAGTCCTCCTCACAGGATTTATGAAGATTCGGTGAGTTAGTTTAAAAGGTAGTAATAGTGTATGAATTAAAGTTGGCCATGACAGAATGTTTAAGTCACAAAGACTTTTTAATCCAGAGAAGTTTGTGAAAATAATTTTCCATTAAAAAGACAATTTCTGAATCTGTCATCTTTCAGTTATAAACGGTAACTTTTATTTTCACAGTTAACATGGCTTTTACTTCAACTAGCCAGAGTACAGCTTTCCCTCCTTGCTACAGCCTTCATTTTCTTTTGTCATAGAACATGAAATATAATGATAGAATGTACAATTTTGTAATACTCCTTCTAAAGATTAGTTCATTTTCTTTTCCTTTTCAATTTAATTTCTTTCTCTGAAACCAATAGGGGAAAATTTGTTAAGCCCTTTTTAATGCACAGATATGGGGAGAAGACCCATCAACTCTTTCCTCAAGTGGCTCATGATCTTTTTAGAAAACAAAATCTAGACACAAGTGAAAAGTTAAATGGCAAGATAAGGATGTGAGTGAAAAATCTGCTGTTAGAGAATTATTCCCAGTTGTCTGAGTTTTTATCAGAATCTATAGGAAACTAGACTCTTGAAAAATCTGTAAATCCCAAAGAAGGGTTATGTTATCTTTCAGCTGAGTTTTTTAACAGAATGAGGCCAATTCACAGATTGTACTAAATAAAGAAATAAGGTGGAAAAATATTTTTGTGAAATTCAGGAAATCAGAATTCTAAACCTTCCTTTGCTATTAGTATGCTGTGTAAAAGCTCTGTGTATGTGTGTGTGTGTGTGTGTCCACATTTGCCTTCCTGAGTGTTTTGGGTGGGCCAGAGGGGAAAAGAGACTGAGGAGAAGGAACTGGAGGAGAAGCCAGCTACCCACTGCTGCAGCTGTCTCATATCTGCATGTCACACAGAGGGGAAAAAATTCATAGCTGTCACAAATGTGTAGAACTATTGAAAGTGCATGAAGCTACAGCACTACATCTGTACTCACCAGCTGGTGAAGCCTATGATAGCAACTTTTTTCCATATTTATTTTTGTTAATTTATTCATCCAGTAAATATTTATCAAGCACCTGACGTGTGGGTTCTCAGGATCCAGAAGGAACCTTTATAGACCTAGATTCCGCCTTCATGAATCTTGCAAGCTGAGTGGAAGACATTAAAAATTAGTCAAATTAATAATTACAAACTAGGAAGGAGTGGGATGCAGAGCTATAAAGGGTAAAATGAGGAAGTACATCTGCTCTGGGGACTCAAGGACAGCACTCCTGAGGAAGTCACATTTGAACTGAGTTCTGAAAGATGAGTAGAATCAGTAAATTTAAGAGTCAAAGAGAATAGCACGTGGAAGGACCTCAAGGCAAGAGGGAACATGGCATTTGAAGACCTAAAAGAAAAGTAGAGCCCAGCACAGGAGGAAGGTGGCATGAGATAGGACTGGAGAGGTTGGCAAGGGCGTACAGGGCCTTGCAGACCACAGTGTGGGAGACGAGGAAGGATTTTAAATAAAGCAAGGACACAGTCATATTTCCTGATGGCAGTTGGAGAGTTGAAAAGAGGAAAAGAATGGACACCAGAAGACCACTAGAAAGCCATTGCATTACTGCCTGATACGAAGAGAACATCCTCATAGTCTCTAGTCTGGGTGTCCAAGCCCAGGGTCTGAATGATAGAGGAGACGCCCTCCAGGAGACCCCTCTGTCACCAGCTCAGTCCTTGTGCTCACTGGCGGCCAGTCTTTCAGGACAGTGAAGTCCTCTGGTGCACCCAAACCTCTGATGAACTCTGGGGACAGAGTTCTGCATATGAATTGCAAGAAACAGTACCTAAGACCAGTCGTCTAGCAGTAAGAGAAACGGATCCCCGCCAGTGGAACTGGGACCACTTGACAGAGACAGAGCTGGGCCTCCTGTGGGCAAATGGTGCTGGGCTTCATTCTCTCACTCCTGGGTGCAGGTTTAGGGGATAGAATCCTTGGACATGGAGGGGTAGGGATGTCAGGCTTGGGTACTTGAGGTCTGGATAAAGGAAACTTGAAATGTCAGACTCTCACTCCCGCTAGTTTCATTGCCCAGTTAAATTGGGGGCATTGCTACCACTGCTGTGGGTGGGATCCCTGAATTACTCCTGAAATTAGTCAGTAGTAAAGTTTGTGCCAATCTCTCTTTGGGTCCAGGAGAAGAAAGTTATAAAATTGTGGTGAATGGAACTATAGACCAGTTCTGATGGACCACTAAACTCCGGAAAAAAACTTAAGTAAAGGGCTCCATCAGGGGCTCTAGTTATGTTACTAGGAAACCAACAGTCTTCATCTCACTGCAACAAAAGGCTGATTGTATATGAAACTTTGGCCACAGCTGTAGGATGCAGAGCCACCTGTTAGCTAAATAAAGGAATCTGGGAGTGTCAGACTGCTCAAGACTCTACATAAGATTTGGCTGTTGGCAGATCAGCCAGGAAGCCTTGCATTGGAACTGTGAAGCCTGTGGACAAGTCTTCTTTGTGCCAACATGGAATTTTTACAGCATGTACAGTAGCAAGATATGTGATTAGATTCTCCATAGTTTTACCCAGGAGAAACCTTGGAGTTGGCAGTTAGAATAAGTCCTAGGAAGAAGCAGGAGCTGGCAGCATAGAAGGCAGGTATCATAGACAGAGGCAAGTAGCAAGTTCAGTCTGTTGTCCAAGAAGAAGAGACAGATACTGCAGAATGCTCTGAGCAAAGGTCGGTAATTGACACAAAACTACTCCAGTTGTCCATAGCCCACCCTCTAGGTTCAACTAAATTAAGCACTTTAACACCAGGCATTTTGAAAAATAAAACAAATCTATCTAGTGGGTATTTGGACAAAGCTTAAAATCTAGACAAGAGATCAACACCTTTCTAATCTCCCAGCTGTTACTGGGGGCTCAATCAGACTTAAAACTAAGAAGGGGGGATGGAGTAGACAAGGCAATCAACCCTTCTTTCCAATATCCTTCTCCAGTCAACTTCAGGATTCTTTAGTATCCCTTAATATGCACCACATTTTAATCAGCTGCTATATTTATGTATTTAAATGGCCCTCCATTCAGCTTTCTACCCCATAAGTCAATGCTAAATTTTAACATTCTCTCTAACTGCTTTTTTTGTGCAAATGTCTAGTCTGCAGATTTTTAATTAGAGGCTAGAGGGAGATAAAGGACCTTTAATTTTTCCCTTCCATAAAGACCATAGATTGACTTGCAGCTATATTCGTTCTGATTTCAACGACTCTCTGGCAAATAGCATAAATAAGTACATGTACTATAACAGGAGACCTTTATCAAGTTTATATTTATGTGTTTAGTTTTTTTTACATTACACATAAGTATTTATTGAACAAATACTTGTTTAAATTTATGTGTTTAATTTCTAGATTACACATCTATTATTTAAAATAAATCTTAGTAGAATTAAAATAATAGCATACATTTTATTGTTTTTTTAATTTGATAAAAATTATTCAAATCTTCCTGAATCTTCAAAGCTATATGACAAACTGTTTATAAAGTTTGTATGGAAATGAAAAGGGCCAAGACTTGTTCAGATACTTTTGAAGAAGGCAAAGGTGGAAAGACTTGATCTACCAGATGTTAAAGATTATGAAACTAAAATAATTAGAACACTGTGGTATCGACACAGGAATAAATAAAAAGACTAGTGGAACAGAATAGAGAGCCCAGAGCAGACCCAAACATGTATGGATACTTGATATGTGACAAAAGTGGGATTGCAGAGCAATGAAGGAGGGAGGGATTTGTACGTGAGTGTGTGTGTGTGTATGTGTGTGGGGGGGGAGAAAGGGAGGGAGGGAGAGGGAGAGGAGAAATTTGAAAAACAGTGTTTATAGAAGAAATTATATAATATTGAAGGTTTGCTTCAAAATAATCTAAAGGAGGAAGGAAAAGAAGGTAAAATATGGCCACATTTCATAATTGTTTAAGATGACTGTTTAGCTTATGAAGGTTTATTATATTGTTTTCTCTCTTTTTCATATGTTTGAAATTTTCTACAATCAAAACTTAAATAAGGAGATGATCTGAATGGCAGGGTGAAGAGTTCTATAGACTTGTTCTCCAGTGAAATAGCTGTAAACAGTGAAAATATTTTTTTTAATTTAAATCTCTGAAATTGTCCTAAGGGCATACAGCAAATGAAGAAATGTTTACTAAAGAAAATCTACTAGATCTCAGTAAGAACAGTCAGAGTCTATGGCACTTTAGCCACAACGTATTACCCCCTTCCTTCTCTCCAGCTCAGAATAAAGAAGACTCCACCCTGAGCATATGTGGCCAAGAAAACGGAGCTCCCAAATTCCCAGCTGAATCAAGATTCAACTATATACTATCTACAAGACATTTTTGATTCAAGGTATAAAAAGTTTGAAAATAAAAGGCTGGAAAAAGATACATCATGTAAACAACCATAAGAAAGCTGGAGCAGCTATATTAATATCAGATGAAAGAGACTTTAAAATTATTTACTATTGATAAAAAGAATAATTTTATTATGATTAAAGTATCAATCCAATAGAAAGATATAATAATTATAAACATGTATGCTTCTAAGAACAGAACCCCAAAATGCATGAAGCAAACATTGACAGACTTGAAGGGAGAAATAGTCAATTCAACAATAATAGTTCGAGACCAATAACCCCCACTTTCAATATGGATAGAACAACTAGACAGAAGATCAGCATGAAAATAGAAGACTTGAAGAACTCTGTAAACCAACTAGCCCTAACAGATATCTGTAAATCAACTCTACCCAACGAAAACAGAGTGCACATTCTTCTCAAGTACACATGAAACATTCTCTAGAACAGACCATATGCTAGGACATACTACAAATTCAATAAATTTAGAATGATTAAAATCACACAAAGTGTGTTCTCCAACCACAGTGGAATGAAAACAGCAATATAGAAAGAAATTTGGGATACTAAAAAGTATGTGAAAATTATACAGCACACACTCCTATATCATCAGTAAAAGAAGAAATCACAAGAAAAATTAGAAAATACTTCTAAGTAAATGAAAATGGAGACACAACTTACTAAAATTTATGGGATGCAACAAAAACTGTGGTTAAAGGACATCGTAGCTATAAATGCCTATTTTAAAAAGAAGAAAGGTCTGAAATCAAAACTTAAACATCCACCTTAAGACATTGGAAAAAGAGAGCAAACTAAACATAAAGCAAAGCATTAGCCATGAGGGAAATACAAGTAAAAACCATAATGAGCTGTCACTATGATGGCTGTAATCAAAAAGTCAGATGATACAAGTGCTGGGAAAGATGTGGAGACATTTGGAACCCTCATACAATGCAGATGGGAGTGTAAAATGGACCAGCCACTTTAGAAAACAGTCTGACATTTCCTTAAAAGTTAAACACAGAGTTACTCTATGGCCCAGCAATTCCACTTATAGGTAGATACTCAAGGGAAACAAAAACATATGTTCATGCAAAAACTTGTACACAAATGTTCATAGAAGCATTAATCATAATAGGCAAAAGTGGAAACAATCCAAATGTCCATCAACTGATGAATGGCAGATAAAATCCAGGATAACAATTCAATGAAATATTATTTAGTAATAAAAAGGAATGAAGTACTAATACATACTATAACACGGATGAACTTTGAAAAACATTATGCTAAGTGAAAGAAGCCAGACACAAAACATCACATATAATATGATTCCATTGGTGTAAATCGGTGTAAATATCCAGATTAGACAAATCCACAGAGATGGAAAGTAGATTAGTATTTGTCTAGGGCTGGAAGGGCAGCCGGGGAGAAAGAGTTCTGACTGCTAATGTGTATAGGGTTTCTTTTTGGCATAATGAAAATGTTCTGTAATTATTTGTGGCAGTGGTTGCACAACTCTGTGTGTATGCTAAAACTCACTGAATTTTGAACTATATTCAATATCTTGTAGTAACTTACGGTTAAAGAGAATATGAAGACGAATATATGTATGTTCCTATATGACTGAAGCATTGTGCTGTACACCAGAAACTGACACATTGTAAACTGATTATATTTCAATAAGAATATATATTTAAAAAACACTGAATTTTACACTTGAATTATGTGAAATGTATGATATATGAATTATATCTCAACAAAGCTCTTATTTAAAAGTTAGATAAGTATAGCAATCTATTTGTACACTCTTAGTGATATATATCTTTAAGGACAAGGAAACTAAGAAAATGTTTTATAAACTGTTTTAAATAATATTATTGATGGTATAGTGTTGCTATTGTAACGTTGAGGCTTATGTGTATATGTTATGAGAATAAAGTAAAGAATGAGAGAAAGAACCACAGATGTAAAATCAGTTATGTAAAATTCCTATACTGGCAGTATCAGGATGAAGTAATGTTTTATCATCTTTTATATTATATATATGTAATATATTGTATTTTATGTTATACATATAAACACTCACATGTAAATGATCAGTTCATTTGAAAAGGTCTAGTAATAAAGGCCAATTCAGTGGCAATGAGCACATTTTATACTCCAAGTTTTCTTCTCTAAATTTCTCAGTAAAAGGAATCAGCTCCTCAGAAATTGGCTGATTCTTGATCTGGAGGAAAAAAATGTTAAAAACAAGCCTGGAACAGCTTACCATTACAGAAAGCAAGAAAGCTATCAAAGATTAATATGATTATTTCAAAAGGAATCAAGAGTCAAAATGAAGAGGCTCGCACTGAAAACGATGGGACAGCTTGAGCACAAATAAGACTAATAACTAAAATGAAATGAATTAAGATACATCATACATATTTTCATGAGTTCATGTTGTGTTTATAATAAAACAAAAAAGAAAACATTTGTCACTATCGGAGTCTCTAAGGAAGCAATTCATTATTTTGAAAATTGTTAGGGGAAAGAAATATTTATCCCATTTCTTATATGAACCCTAAGATAATTAATTAGTTGATGGGAAGTTTCTCTGTTCAGGTTTTTTCCAGGAAATAAGTGAAAAGGGAATGAGAGAATTAAAATATCACTTCTTTGTAACCCTTAGGAATGAATAGATCCTAGTAATTATTGTTCCATGGTTAACATCACAACGAAAAAGATAACCAGATATTACATGCCTCCTGATGTACTTATATTACCTATGAAGTATTCTTGCCAAAAAAAAATTGAGCTAGAATCTAATCACACCTTTAGAGCCAGCTACCAGCTTATAAGAAATGCAGTGAAGAGAAACAGGGGAACCTGTTAAATGAAACCACAAGGATGTGATCAACAATGTTTTGAAGGACAAACAACCCAGTTTCTTGAACAAATAAATTACAGGGGGGAAATGAGAGCAGTGGGCAAGGGAGAGAAAAGAAGAAAGTGAGGGATCTATAGATTAAAAGAGATTTAAGACTCTTACTTTACACCAAATACAAAAATTAACTAAAAATGTATCAAAGTCCTGAATATAAGCTAAAACTATAAATTGTCATGACATTGGATATGGCAATGGTTTGTTTCATATGACATAAAAAGCACAAGCAACAAGAGTAAAAGTAGGTAAGTTGGACTACATCAAAATTTAAAACATTACAGAAGACGAAATTGGATTGAAATGTTAATTTATGGAATGGGAGAAAATAGTTGCAAATCATTTATCTAATAAAGGGTAATATCAGAATATATAAAGAACTCCTACAAATTAACAATGAAAAACAAACTGATTAAAAAATGGACAAAGGACTTGAAAAGACATTTCTCTGAAGAAGATAAACAAATGGCCAGTAAGCCAATGAAAATATGCTCATCATTAGTCACTATGGAAATGAAAATCAAAACCTCAACGGGATACCACTTCACACCTATTAGGATGGCTACTATTAAAAAAAACTAAAAAACATAAAAATTAGAAATCCAGTAATTCCACTTCTGAGTATATATCCAAAAGAATTTAAAGCAGGGTTTTGAAGATATTTGTACACCCATGTTCGTAGAAGCATTATTCACAATAGCTAAGTGGTGGAAGCAACCCAAGTGTTCATCAACAGATGGAATAAATAAATGATATATGGTATATACATACAATAGAATAGTATTCAGCCTTAAAAAGGAATGAAATTCTGACATTACTACAACATGAATGAACCTCGAGAACATTGTGCTAAGTGCAATAAGCCAGTTACTGAAAGACAAATACTGTATGATTGAACTTACATGAGGTACCTAAAGTAGTCAAATCCATAGAGACAGAAAGTAGAATGGTGGTTGCCAAGGGGCTGGGGAATGGAGGAATGGAGAGTGATTATTTAATGGATATAGAGTTTTAGTTCTGCAAAATGAAAAGAGTTCTGAAGATGAATGGTAGTGATGGTTACACAACAATGTGAATGTACTTAATTAACACTGCAGAACTGTACACTTAAAAGTGGTTAAGATGATAAATTTTATGTTATGTATATTTTACTACAATTAAAAATTTTTTTTAATTTTAATTTAATAAAGATTTAAGAAACAACCAATTGCAATATATGAATCATACTTTGATACTGATTCATCATACAAACTTAAAAGAAAACAAAGGAAATTTCAATGGTAACTATGTTTAATGAATTAAATTTTTATTGTCCAGTTTTTAGGTGTGATATAGTATTATGGCTGCTAAAAAGAAAGAGAGTCCCTGTTTTGTAGAGATAAATACTAAAATATTTGTGGATAAAATAATTTGATATCTGCTAGAGTACAAACTTGTGGTTGCCAAGGGGGCAGGGGGTGGGAAGGGACAGACTGGGATTTTAAAATGCAGAATAGATAGGCAAGAGTATACTGTATAGCACAGGGAAATAAAACAAGATCTTGTGGTAGCTCATAGCAAAAAAAAAATGTGACAATGAATATCTATATGTTCATATGTAACTGAAAAATTGTGCCCTACACTAGAATTTGACACAACATTGTAAAATGACTATTACTCAATAAAATAATGTTAAAAAATAATAATAATTTGATTCTGGAATTTGCTTTAATATAGTCAGGGCAGGGGAGTAGATGGGGGCAAATTAGATCAGCTATGAGATGATAATTGTTAGTTAGTTGATGGGTACATCAGAGTTTCTTCTCCCCAATTATGTATTTTTTTAAAATACTTCTTTGGTGTGAACATTGGTGGTATCTGATATTGTTCTTTACTACTGGATATGAGTATAGGAAGGATACTACATTTATGCCAATTTATTCTCAGCCTACAATGACATGCTTATTTTCATCCTCGTCTAGCAAATCTGTTCCCTTCTGTCAAATACCATGGAACTAAATAGTTCCCTGCATTCCAATTGCTTAGAAGCCAGAATAAATAGCCATATGCCACATGGCACCATCAGTCCCTGTTCGCAGTCCAGAAATATCATTAGAAATTGGGTAAGTAATGCAGGTCTGTCTGCTGAAGGATATCCTGTAAGCCACAAAGTGTCAAAAACCTGTGGACTGATTATTGCCCTACAAACAGGACAGCACTGGAGACACTGAGACTGATTTTTAGGTTAAATTTATCCATGAAGGAAACAGAGAGGCACTGTTTATACAAAATGGTAGGAAACTGGATACTAAACACATCATCTAGCTGCTTCAAATCATTGCCCCATGAGCTTGTTACTGAGTGAACAATGAGTTGTTTCCTGCCATTTATTTTTAAATTTTATGTTTTCATTTTAAATTATAGCATAAATAAAAGATTTTGCTTAAATTTTACCTAATGATTGTTACATTTTTGTACTTTCCTATATTCAAATATTTCTATTTTAAGAAGCGTGATATGTAACATTACAAACAAGCTTATATCCTTCTACTTTTATTTTGGAATTAAAATGGTTCCAAGAGGCACATTTATTTAAACTTTTCCTGCAGAGAATTAAAGAAACTAGAAAAAAATATAATCATAGCCTTATTTAAAATGTGTTTTCCCTCCCTGTCTGAAGTTCCTCTTTGTATCCTGGCCCTCAGCTTTCACAATAGTAGGAAACCATTCTTGGCACATGTTTTATGACTGTAGGACATGCTTCTGAATCTGGTAAAACCAATGCTCACCCTAAGTGTAACAAGATTGTTTAAGCATTTCCTTCTGTTCATAGAGGGAAAATTCTCAAAATGGATTATACTCACACAATGGCGATACAAAACTGAAGGTCAAAGATGTTGAGTTTAAATCATGCCTTGATATCAAAGCAGTTGAGTGACCTGAGGAAAGTCACTGAACTCACTGGGGCTTTAGACTTTTTGATATATATTAAGAATGTTCCAGAAGATGATCTTTAAGATACCTTCCGGTTCTAAAATTCTATGCTCCTTTGAATTAACTCTAAGAATTGATATGACTCAGGATTTATAGATAACTGCAAACCCAACCTCCTCCATAATGGATTTTTATCCTCTTTTCCGTTCTTTTACCTACTTTCAGTTAAAGATTCTTAACTATCACTACCACAAGAAAAGATATAAACAGTAAAGATGAAGTAGAACATAGAAAACATGCAAAACTTTGGGAAAAATGGAGAACTTTCTTTACTTTGTTTATACATGCCTAAATAAGTTTGCCTTGCTAAAGATCAAATAAAATCTCTCAAGCATTGTAAGCAACTGATAAGTTTTTTCATGTCCATCAAGTACATTTTTACCTAACTGGATATAATGGTCCTATATGATATGAGTGTCACAAAATTCAGGAAGGAAATGAATGTTAGGACTTTGGATTTGAATCAGAAGATTTCAAGACTCTGGACTCAGAGTTAAAGACTCCAACAAGTCTGAGTCTCAATTTCCTCTTTTATAAAATGGGAATATGATGCTTCTCTGACAAGGTCAGTGTGAAGATAAGTAAAAAGGAAGGTAAAAGCACTGCTACATAGCAGGTGCTCAAACTGCACCCTTCCTGCCTCCTTTCGTCTTTATGGTATCATACATAATTAATAATAAAATAATAATAATAGGCACCCCCAAATAGTCATTAACTGAAAAGATTTATTGGATGATATTTTAAAAATCAGCATAAGTCTAACAAGGGAGAGAGAGGAGAAAGTTTCAATACTAATCAACTAACATAGAAAAAACCTGTTAAGACATATACCAAATGTAACTGGTAGTCTTCTTTGGATTGTGGGAATACACTTGCTTTTTATTTTCTTATTTATCACTATCTGTTTTCTAATTTTTCCACAGTGAATATATTATATTCATAATTCAGAATTTTAAATAAAATTATAGAAACCTGCCTGAACCCATCAATCAAGCTGACCATCACTGCCTATTAATGTGATGCAATAGGAAGATTACAGCACAGCCAATGGAGTGTGTTTGCCAAAATAATTGTAAATAGGTAAGTAACCTGAATTGAATTCCTCCTCCAAAGCTATCAGTTTACAAAACAAAACAGGAGATACAGGAATATTTTAAATAACTCTGTGAAAACTCAATCAGAAAAATCCACAATGTGGGAAATATTACAGGACACATAACCTAACTTTTCAATCAATAACTGACTGGAGGGTAAAGAAGAGATGAATTCATAGATTAAAATAGACTTAAAGGATATAGCAATCAAGTGCAAACTGTAGACCTTGCTTGAATCCCAGTTCAAACAAACCAGCTATCAGGGGGAGGGTGTAGTTCAAGTGGTAGAGAACATGCTTAGCACACACAAGGTCCTGGGTTCAATCCCCAGTCCCCCCTCCAAAACTAAATATGCAAACATAAGTACCTATTCCCCCCTCCATAAAAAAAAAACCAATATCAAAAAGCCATTTTTAACTGAGAAAATCTGAACATAGATTTAGATGTATGTTAGATGCTAAAAGAACTAATGTTAATTTTATTGAGGATGGGGATAACAAACAGTATTGTGGTTTTTGCTTTAAAAAGAAAAGAGATATAATATTTATGGAAAAATGATATGGTGTCTGAGAATTGCTTTAAAACACTCCACTTCAATATAAACTATCCTATCAGAATCTGCAATACAAATTTTTGTTGTTTCCGTATTACAAAAAGAGAGCTATAAAACAGTTCTATTAGTCAACATCTTTTCTTCCACTGGAAGCAATAAGACTTATAGAGAAAGAGAAGCAAGCTTATAATTCTCTTTTCAACCAATACCCCCAGGCAGACAGAAACTGCAAATTCCTTTAGGTCAGAGTTTAGTGCTGTAACCTGGACACATGGGTGCTCACTGAATGTTACTTATTGACTCCCAGGGAGATGGATTTTCTGGGTAATCTAGTAGAAAATATTTTACTATAGAGACAATGTTGACTTAAAAAAATAGGTTACAATTAGGATTACATATTTGAAGTAAATATCTGATATACTAGACCCCTGATAAAAGTATTTATTGGCATGAATCAATGGGAAGCTACAATTTGTATTTTGAGTCTTCATACAGTCACAACCCTTTAGTCCCCAAAACATGCAGATTTTTGAACAAGCAGGACCTTTCTCACAATGTTGTTTCCAAGAGGCCTTTTACTTGTGAATAAGTCTGAATTTCAATACACTCTCTTCCAACTTTTATTCTCCAATGTGATTCAACATTATCACATCCAAGGGATCTCTAGATCAGAAGTAATTTGAACTTTAGACATTAAATAAGAGAATAAATTTTCTTCAACTCTGTCTACTGAACACACAGTGCCCAGCTCACTTTCCTAACATGGTAGCAAACCCAGTACCAAATCTGAGGTGTATGCCGCTTGCATTCCCGTGGCCATTCCAACCCCTAAATAACATTCTGAAACTCAAAGGAAAGAAAAAAGCAAAAAGAGAGGTTTGGTTTGGTTTGGTTTGACGTTAGCAGCCAGTGAAGTCTATACAATGATGCCATTTTTTTTGGAGACTACATAGAACCCTGTTAAATACATTGAACTAAGTTAATTCCATAAATATTTATTGAGTATTTACTACGTGCCAGGTGCTATTCTAGGTACTGGGGAGGGGTTACAGCATGAACAAAAAGAGTTGTGTCTCTTCTCAGGGAACTTCCATGTTACACAAATAGGCACAAGAATAAATATATAATAGGTCAGGCGATGATAGGAACCGTAGAGAAAGTAAGGCGTTGTGATAGGTCATGGCCAGGAAGGCTCCTAAGAGACAGTCTGGAAAACTCTTAGACCCTACTGGAGTGCAGGCACAGATAAGGGGGGATGGGTAAAGTCACAAGGACACCCAGGAACAACTCGGTGCCCAGCAGAATGATAAGATAGTACAGGTGGTTTCTGGTTGTTGAATGGCTGGGGGGATGGGTGGGTGAGGCAAAGCCCGCAGTTCTGTGCTCCTCTACCACGTGGGCTGCGGAGGACACCAAATCCCAGAGAAGTCTCCATGAGAAAGCAAGAGACGCTGCAGGAAAGTGTCCCCAGTCACTTCCTTATTGTTGACGCTTTGCGTTGCTTAGTAGCTGTTTCAGGAATCTTGAGTGAAGTTCTTGTCATCATTCTGGCCTATCCTCGAACTTGAAGCTGTCTTCATGGTCTGGCCTGGGTTGGGCTAAGGAAGAATACAATACAAATAGACATTGCTGGTGTTGGGGTGAAAGGGGGTTCACTTTAGAAAAGGTGATCAGACAAGACCTATCTAACAAAGTGACTGAGTAGAAACATGAATGAAATAAGGCAGTGAACTCTGGGATACATGGAGGGGCTGGAAGTGGGAGGAGTGGAAGCCCTGGTCCAGAAACAGCAAGTACAGACTTTCTGAGGCAGGATTGCTCTTGGTAGGAGTTCAAAGGGAAGTGAGGCAGCCATGTGACTGGAAAGGAGTGAAAAGGGGGAGAGGTAGATGATGTAGGGAGAGGTCCTGGGAGGCCAGATTACCCATGGCCTTGTAGACCACCGTGAGAACTCTGGCTCTTATTCTGAATGAAAATGTCGGGATTGAAGCAGAGGAGTGACTGATGTAACTGAGACTGAGAAAGGACACTCTAGCAGCTCTGTTGAGCGGCTCTAGGAACCAATACAGAAGCAGGAAGACCAGCTACTGCACTAATCCAAGCAAGAGATGATAGTGGCTTCGACTAGGACATTAGCAGTAGAGAGGGTGGTAAGTGGCTGGATTCCTGATTATCTGCATTTGAAGGTGGAGAGCACTAGATTTGCTAATAGATTAGATGTAAGGTTTGTGAAAAAGGAATCAAGGATGATGCCACATTTTTAGCCTCAGCAACTGGGAAAGAAGAGTTGAGATGAGAATGTAGGAGGGTTAGGTTTTAGGGAGAAAATTTAAGTTTGGCCTTGACTATATTAAGCCTGGTATGCCTACTGGACAAGGAAAATGAGGAAGTGAAAAGATAGCAACCTTAGGGGGAATTTAAATAAGAAGTTATCCAAATTGCAGAAGTTTATTTGAAGGGATAAGTTATATATTTGGCTTGGCCTTCAATTTGAAAACAATGGGAAACTAAAAGTTATAAGTTGTTTTTAGTGTTTAAGTTATGACTGTAAATCTAATCAGACTTGGACTGCCAGATTTTTGTGTATTTACCATTTATACTTTACCCACCCTCCCCCAGACAAATGTGAGGTTTACAACAAAGATGCTTTCACAAGCAAATCATTAAACAAAGATTTCAAAACATGAGCTGTCCACAAAGAATTGTACACAAATGTTCACAGCAACTTCATCCATAATAGCCAAATATTGGAAACCACTAAAATATCCATATGCAGGAGAAATGATAAACAATGTGTAGTATACTAAAAAGTAAAGTACTACTCAGCAATTAAAAAGAAACAAATACTGATTCATGCAACAACGTGGAAGTCAAAAACATTATGTTCAGTGAAAAAAGCCAGACTAAAAGATAACGTACTCTATAACTCCATTCAAGTAAAGTTCAAAAATAGCCAAAAACTAATCTATGGTCAGAAACCAGAAAGCAGTTGCAGCAGATGGAGGAAATTCTGGAAAGTGGTACAAGGGAACTACTGGGGTACTGACGTTGATCTGATGATTGCTAACCCAGGCATATAAAATTGTCAAAATTCGTTGTATCAAACACTTATGTGCATTTTATTGCATGTAAATTCTGTCTAAAATACACAATAAAACATGAGCCAAAAGGGTTATCTACTACAGAAAAACCTAGGCTAAAAAATTGAACACAAACTGGGAGCTCTGTTACCCAGCAATCAAGGCAAAAGGGAACCAAATAAATTATCTAGCTGTTATCTAATATCAGCATGTATGAGAAGAGAAAACAAATTTTTCCTAACATGATACTTAATGATATTTAGAAAAGAAGCACTATATATAATATTTTTATTTTCAACAAAACCTGTATAAAATTGAAACATTTTTGGCTCATTTTGATTTCTAGTAATCCTCAACAAAAGTCAAGAGGATATTAAGTTATGTTTCTATGAAGGCATTTCTATGGGGAGCTGAAGGAGGCATTCAAGGTAGGGTAGCTTTCTAGAGTGCCAACTAGCTGCAGGAATAGAATCTAGAGACTCATTCCACAGAAGGAGGATTCTCACATTTCATAATCTCACCTTCCTGGATGCCTTGGCTGGGTTTGTGAGAATAGTTGGATATCAGATAATTAAAGGTTAACTAAAGTGTAATGTTCTCCAGAGTTGGTTAAAACTAGATATGTGGGGTTCAGCTACTAAACTTGTGTTTGGTTAATTATATATTTTGTTATAAGAAATGTTCTAAGAAACTGCCATATTTCATGCCCAAATGGAAGACCATGCTTGGGTCTACTTATCCAGTCTTAATGGATGCCTTTATCTCTGGCTTTCAGGAAACTCTTCTGCGTCTCCTTCCATGCTTCCCAGTAGGGGTGTAATTGACAAATTAGGCAGGCCAGTACTTTGTTGTGCAGGACTCCCAGCTTTTAAGACATTTAGCATCCTTGGCTCCATTACGAAATACAAATAGCGTCCTCAGTCCTTGTGACAACCAAACAGTCCCTCTACATTTTTAAACTTAGCACCATCCCCTTTTGGTGATCACTGGGACTTTAAAAAAAGGTTGGTATCCTTTTGAATGTGGAAGAGCATCAGGTCCCAAATTCAATGGGATGACATGGCATGGAGAAAGACATAATCTTGGTTCAAAACATATGGGGATATACATCCACTTCTGTCACACAAAAACTTTAATACGGCGCTCACAAAACATTTTACTTAGGACAAGGCTGTATCTTTGTTCAATGAGCCTGCCAGGATGAAATAGCCTCCCGGTAAAACCCTCACCAGCTGAGGGAGTTGAGCCACAAAATGCAGCTCATTCATTCAATAAATATTAATTGAATTATCTATTCAAATGATGAAGTTTGTCTGCCAAAAACACTTCGGTTTTAACAAAGTTCACATTGAACTTTTTTTTTCTAGCTACAGCTGACCAGGAAGTTAATTCCTTCTTTCACTGTTAAGACCTATCACATGGCAAGCAGAAAGGACACAGTGGTGAGTAAATTCTGCTGATAGTCTGGTGGAAGGTTTTGGAGAAACAGATAACAACATAACATGGAAGTTATAAGAAAAAGAGCTACAGTGGCCTCTCTGAGGAAACTTTTAATCTGAAGGATAAGTAGGACTTAACTAAATGTTTCATTTGTGGGGGAGGCAGGGGTGCAGGGAGAGAGAAAACTGTTCCAGGCAGGGCCAAGAAGTCCGGAACAGAGAGAAGCAGTTAGGGTAACAACAGGAAAGTGGTGAAGACAAGTCTAGAGAGGCAGAATTTTAGGGCTTGGAGAGAGTTTGGATTTTTTCCTAAGTGGAGCAAAACATCATCATAAACTATATATGAAAGAAAGACATGGCCAGATTTATGTTTAAGGCAACTCATCAGATCCAAAGGATTGACTGGAGGAGGAGAGCAGCGTAGGTTTAGAAAGAGACGAGACGACAGGGTGGGAAACGTTATATTGTCCAGAGTAAAGTGACAGTGGGCAAGACTAGGACGGAACGGGGGCACGATCAATTCACCTAATGATGAAGAGCTCCTACTATGTGCCAGGCACCCTATTAAGAAATTAGTGGGGGAATATACTAATCCAACACAGAATGTAAAATTTTCATCATATTCAGTGCCACAAGGAGAAATATGTGATAAAGCTGCGAAACAGAACCTTCCCTAATGCTTCCGGAAAGGTTTCCCTTGAGAAAGGGAACTAAATTCTGAACTTAAATCTGAACTAGACTAGAAGCTAACCGAAGGGCATGGTGAAGAATGAAGACTGCAAGGCAGCTCGTTGACAGATGCAGGGCACAGACGGGGTGTGATGAGAGGCTGCAGAGGTGGTTAAGCACTGTATTATATGCAGCATTGAGTAATTTGGTCTATCCTAAGAGCAAGGGAAAGCCTTCCAAGTGTTTTGAGCAGTGGGTGTTTTACAAAGCAAGCATCAGATTTGTGTTTTGAAGCTTGTTGTGGCCACAGTTTGAAGAATGGATGGCAGGGGTAAACGTGGATGTGGTGAAATGAGTTAAACCATGATTGCAGAAGACCAGGAAATGCTGGGAGGTGGAGGAGATTATGGGGTTTCCAGCTCTGGCTTCTCAAACACACTCCCAGTTCATGACAGGTTAAGACCATACCATCTGACCAGAGGAAGGCGTTTCATCTTCTTACTAAGGGCAAGAACAAGGCCATCTAAAAATTGCATTACATGTTAAACTGCTCACGGTGGTCTCCTCTGGGGAATGGGACTGGAGAGGAGGATGGTAGAAAGAGGGGGGCATTCATTTTTTTACCATCAACATCTGCACGTGACTTTTACAGTAAAAATGTGAATACAAATATAAGCTTAAAATCGAATACAGAAATCCCATAAATTGTTTACAAATATAAGCAAGAGAGAGCTATGACTATCTTATTTTATGCCACTTAGGAATGGACTGTGAGCTCTCAGGAGCCCACTCCCACCCATCTGTTGCTCAGGATTGATCTGCAGTCAAAGGCTGGAAGAATTAAGAGTCCACAATGACTAATGTCTACAGTAAGTATTTTTTAAAATCTTAAATTGTGACTATTATTTTCTCAATAAGATATGAGCCTAACAGTCATGAATCGTGAGAGCTGAGACTAAACCAGGCTTCTTCCTCATGTAATACATGAAGGAGAAGAACACAGAGAGAAGAAAGCAGACGTTGACTTTGGACGAGACATTCAACACACTGATAGTTCTGTAGCTGTGTGGAGATGAAGAGGTGTCCTTCTTATAAACAAATATACATGAAGTCCTTATCTAGGAAAATATCAAAGAGTTAAACCTGCAAGGATTGGTGTCCAACACAGGATTTCTATAATTCTGGGCAATGAACTTTGCTAGGTGCAAGAGGGGGAGTCTAGTATTACGTATACACTTACCAGAATGTTATAGATTCAGCCAGCATTAACTCATAACCACATTGAGTGTGAAAAGCGAACCTTTTCCTTCCAATAATCCATTTGCCTTTCTTTAGCACTATTAAACTGCCTTTGAGTTTCTTTATATTCTGCACTCCCACTCCTGCTATTTGACATAAATACCATTTAGAACACTGTGGTTTTTTTGTTTGCATTCCACTTACTAACATGGGTGTGGAGAACCTAAAATGGATACAGGAAAAGCAGAAATTTTAAAAATTACGTTGAAAAATAAGATCAGTGTTTACTTGCTAACACATACAGTGATAGGGTGCACATAAAGCATTAACTGCCAGCAACCGTACAGAGCTGTACAAAGCACTTTCACGCTGATTTTATTTCATTTTCTACCACCTTTTGAGCCAGAGAGACTTACTACTGTGTCCCAGATGAATGATCGTGATCAGAGTCCTAGCAACTCGCAAAGATTTTAATCTTCTGACTTATGTGTTCTTCTGGAATAGACTGTTGCTGGAAAGGAGCTGGACTGCAGGGATCTTGAGTAAATACGCACACACACAAGAATGCCTCACAGTACTCAAGGGCAGGGACGCATGTACAGCTGAGTCTCACACTCAGGCAGTCCTCTCTGCCTGCCTGATGCTGTCATCTGCTCACTCAGATCTTTTGCCTCTTAGTTTTCCCAAGTCCATGGCCACACCAAGACTGCAGTCTCAGGCATGGCACAGGAGTTCAAAGGTTATACAGCCCAGAATCTCAGTTGGAGTTCCAATGTTCCTCCCCACAACCCCCACCCCGACCCCCCCGCCAAAAAAAGAGAGAAAGAAAAGAAAAGAAAAAAGACAAGAGATTGTCAGAGTGGATCAAAAAACACAATCTAACTAAATGCTGTCTATAAGAAACCCACTTTAAAGACACATAGACTAAAAATAAGTGGACAGAAAAATACATTATGGTAACATTAATCAAAAGAGAGCAGGTGTAGCTACCACAATGGAATTAAACTAGAAATCAAAGACAGAAAGATAATTGAGAGATACCAAAATATTTTGGAGATTAAACACACTTCTAAATAATACATGGGTCAAAGAAGAAATAAAGAGAAATTTAAAAATAGCTTGAACTAAATGGAAATACAACTTGTCAAAATTTGTGTGATGCAGCAAAAGTAGTGCTTAGAAGGAAAATTATACACTGGATGCATGCATTAGGAAAGAAGAAGGACCTAAAAGCAATAATTAAGTTTCCACCTTAGGAAACTAGAAAAAGTGCAAATTAAACCCAAAGTAAGGGAAAGAAAAAAAAACAGTAAGAACCAGAGCAGAGTCAATGAAATTTAAAACAGAAAATCAATGGGGTAAAAAAAAAACCCAAGAAAACCAAAAGCTGGTTCTTTGAAAAGGTCAGTAAACTTGATAATTACCTAACAGGCTAAGAAAAAGAGAGAAAAGGAGCAAATTAGTAAAGTTAGCAATGAAAAAGGGTACATCACTACAGAGCCCATGGAAATTAAAAGGTTAATAAAGGAACATTCTAAACAAGTCTATGCCCATAAATTTGATAATCTAGATGAAATGGACAATCTGTCAAAACTCATTAAAGAAAAAGATAACTTGAATAAGCCTATATCTGTTAAAGAAATAAAATCAATAATTAATAACCTTCTAAAACACAAAGCATTAGGCCCAGACAGGCTCACTGTACCAAGTATTTAAACGAAGAAACTACACCAAAGGTCTACCATCTCTTTCAGAGGACAGAGGCAGAGGGAATACTTACTTTCTAACTCATTCTATGAGGCCTGCATTACCCTAATACCAAAACCAAAGACAGTACAGGAAAACTACAGACCAGTACTTCCCATGAACATAGATGCAAAAACCCCCAACAAAATATTAGTACATCAAATCCAAAAGTACGTAAAGAAATATATACCACAATCGAGTGGGATTTACCCCAGGTATTCAGGACTGGTTCCACATTTGAAAAACAATTAATGTAACCCATCACATCAACAGGCTAAAAGAGAAAATCCATCATCATATCGATAGATGGATTTTGTTGACAAAATCCAATACCCATTCATGATAAAAACCCAGTAAACTCAGAATAAAGGGAACTTGATAAACACTATCTACACAAAACCTGTAGCTAACATCATACTTCATGGTGAGAAACTCAAAGCTTTCCCACTAACATCAGGTACAAGAAAATGATTCTGCCTCTCACCACTGCTTCTCAACATCATACTGGAAGTCCTTATTAATGAAGCAAGGATTGGGAAAGAAAACAAAGAAACATTTAAATAGATTAAGTGTGAGAAGAAGAAATATAGAGGTAAGTATCAGAATTAACAGCTAAAAGAGTCAGATCTGGGCATAGGGAAGGAGACTGCCTTTTTACTTTTTTTAAAGTAAAGTTCCTTTTGATATTATTTGATTCCTAACTACTTGCATCTATTACTTGGATAATTTCTTTGAAGAGTAAATGCAAGAGGAAAAATAATTGCAAGAACAGATGGAAATAATCATGGGTATATATGCATAAAGCTTATTAAAAGGAATACATCTCAGCATTTTTAATGGCAAAAATGTTATAAACTGTCAAAATGTCCAATAGGAGAGAACTTATTAGAAAACTATGCTACATCCACAATAAATGTAGAATTTTCGAAGATATGGGAAAATGCTTACATTAAATGGAGGAAAAGACTGCAAAACAGTAAAGACACAGAAGTACGTACACCAAAAGAACAACAAAAATCCAGGGATCTCTCTTGGTAGGGAATATACAATTTTTAATTTCCTTTGTTTCTATATATTTTTCAAATCTACCAGGAGCTTGTTGCTATTGTAGTAAGATACCATATTTTTAAACACACAATTTCTTATTGTGATTATTTCTGGGATATGAAATTGTGGATCACCTTTATTTTCTAGTGAGTTTTTTTCATTCATTCTTTCATTCATTCCAACGGTCCATTTGTGGGAAGGACAATGCTATGTATTTAGCAGATCGTTTTGGTTCTCTTCGTGGACACACCTGATGACTACACTTTCCCATCTTCCTTGCCATTGGCCTCGGGTCATAGGGCTGGGCTCTGGCCAATGGAAATGGGGAAAAGTGCTATGTGCCTTTCAGTCCTGGCTGTAAGCCCCTGCAGGATCTACCACCTTCCAGGGCAAGTCTGAGGATTCAAAGCTGGCATTGTTACAAATGGGGAACTCTGGGTACCTGGGAGTCTTTCCGCCACATCGGAGTAATGATGAAAACAGCCAAACTCCTACTGTCTGAAGCCACTGAGATACTGGGATTGTTGTAGCAGCTCATCTATCTTTATGCAGCATTACTATCATCAGTAGGAAAACAGAAACTAAAATGCTCCTTCCATACTACAAACCTTCAATAGCAGTCTACGATCTAGTGAATGTCCTCAAGATGGCAAGGATGACAAGGTCTTCCATTGCCTGGTCCCACACACTTCACATGCCACAAATCTCACTGTCCCTCCTAAATGCTCCCACAGCTCCTGGCCCCATTCTTCCCCATTACAGTACCAAACACAACTGCATTGTAACTAGTTGGCTTGTCATCAGTCCCTTTCACTAGACTGAGTCTCCACTAGGGCTGCATTTGTTTTTCTTCTTCACACATGTACCTTCAACACTTAATGCCATGTGCCTGGCATACAAAGGATGCTCAATGAGTAGCTGCTGAATGAATAAATAATGTGCTCCTAAGTGTTCACAGCCCCCTAAAAACCAAGAAATTTTAGAGCCTAGAAGGTAGAGAAAAGCAATTCTCATTTTATTAGAATATATTCCCTTCTAAAACAAATTTTCAATCTCTGAGTATCTGAGTAGCCAGCCTAAAGCTTTCACTTTATCACTGACAGGACACCAAGAGCCAGGAATCAAATGATACCCTTTTTAGACAAGAATCGCTTCCTAGACTAAATCCTTTATGAGTTAGTGAAGCGTTAAATTCTGACTTCTTAAATTCAGAGTTGAAATTTCTTTGTCTTAGGAATTTTACATTGAAATTACTTTTAGTTATTTTAAATCAAAATTATCTCTGATAGGAAGCCACCTTAGGAATAAATGTAAGAATCACCACTACAACTCAAAATGCTCCAATCGTGAGGGAGACAGTCTCAGGAAAGCACTATATTTTATGCTCCTTGGAAAGCTTAGGTTTAATGATAGCCCTTCCATTAAATACAAAAGCACTATTTTGAGTATATGAAACACATCTTTCAAAGTTGAGTCTTAGATGTTACTTTAATAGTACCTATGAATAATATAGTTATTTTTAAAGTTTATTTTATTAAAAAAAAACACAACAACAACAAACCTATGACTTTACCCACTGTAAAAAAAAAAAAATCCAGAGAACTGGATTTTTAAGAAAGTTTCTTCTTTAATGGATTACCTCAAGATATGAAGAACCAAATTACTCTTTGGTTTTATTATATGGGAAGAACAACACACAGTCCTTTAGTCAAACAACTCTGTGATATTTATATTCCATTGCACAGGTAGAGATAATACAAATTAGTAATACAAGTTATTTCTTAAATTCCAAACAGTTTCTAAAATATTATTACAGCAGATGTCTAAGATATTAAAA